TACCCGCGGGGGGGACCGCGGGTGGAGCCCTACCCGTGGCCCTACCCGCGGGGAACATGTTTGAGAAGTGGTTTGGGGTTGTTTTCCCACCCTTTCGCCCATTCGTGTGTGATTCTTTGGCCCCCGTTTGATTGGATTGTTGAGCTTTTGTGTGTCTCCTTGTTGTTACGTATGTCTAGAGCGATGTCTTAAGTATCCATGTTAGGATTTGGTATCTTGAATCGTGCTTATGATCCAACCTTGTGATTCGTTGGATTGATGTTGAGTCTTTGTGGTTCATTGGAACTATTTTGGTTTACCCGTTTGATATGCATGCTAGTTTGATGTTGTAATGCTAGTGTGTGTGGTTTGTTCTTTCCTATTGAGGGTGGCAACTTGTGTTGACCATCGTTGGTGTCGGATTGTAATCTTTCCTTGTTGAGTATGGTTTCATATCTTCGTTGTGATCCGTTGATTGATTCCTATGATGGTGTTGTGTGTCTGGCTGTACCTTGATTGCACGGGTAATGGTATGGGACATTAATCACCAAGGTATAGATGTGGTCCTCGTGGTGGCCATGGATTAATGTGATGAGATGTTTGAGCTGGTAAAGTGGACAGTGTGGGGACTTATGTGTGAACGGACCGGTAGTGTAGCTCCGGATAGCCGTTGGATACTTTACTTGTGGGCAACATGGGAAACTTATCCCCGTTGCAAGAGATTGTAACTAACCCGTTGAGCTTGGAATCTCAATAGGGGGTGTATACACTTAAAGTTGCTAGCTTTGTTTCCATTGGGCCGCGGTTTTTGTCATTGTGATGACACTTGCATGTGATCCGGGTCGTTGATGACCACGTGAAGCATATGATAGTTGATGATTTGGAGCCCTCCACACTGATCCACTATGAATCGAGCCGTGGTGCTAACTCCACGGTATATGACTTGGTGTGATAGTGTCTTTTGTGGACTTGGAACTCGTTATGGTGTGAATCTGGCCTTTCATTGCTTAAGAACACGTCTATTGTGAGTCCTTCGTTGTGTATCGTATGTTGTACCTTGTTGTTGAGCTTGTTTCTTGTGGATCTGTTGTCTTGTTGAATACGTTGGTCTTTGACCTTTGTTGTGAGTGATTGATAAGTCTATTGATGTTTCCTCTCTCAGCTTTAAATGTTATATACTGTATTCCCAGTTCTAAATGGTTTTGATTATATCTATGTATATTATGATACTTAACGCGTGTTGGTGGGTAACCAGCATTATTCGCTGACCGGGCGTCGTCCCATGTTTATCTTTGTGTTCTTTTAGGTGATGTCTAGACGAGCGCGATGTCTAGTGCCCGATAGTTTAGTACCTTTCCTTTGCTTTAAGGTTTGCGAGCCGATGTAGAGATAGACTTATGAGTTTGGGATAGTTGTGTACACAATGCAGATTTGACCGCCGTAACGTTTATCATTGTTGGTAAACGTGGCATAACACCCCTGTTTTGGATTTACTTTTATCCAGTTACCTTTTTATCTTCCGCTATGCTAGTGTTTTGTTGTGTTATCTGCATGTGTTAAAGCTTTTTAAATAGCTTGTTCTTCGGGGGTGTTACAATCACAGTTCAACGTAGCATGATTCAAGACACCAAAACCTACATGGAATTCTACCATATAGTTCTAGACATACGAAACATCAAGAAGACACTCAAATAGTTCCACAAAAGAACATTGGGAAGTCAAAAGACCAAATACCGAGTCAAAAGAATCACGGGGAACAAATCCCCCAACAACCACAATACGTACGCCGCGGGTGGGCCCACGGGTAGGCCCCTACCCATGGTTCCGCCCGCGGGTACAGGCCCACATTCAACATGTACCCTGCGGGTGGGCGGTGGGTAGACCCCTACCCATCATTCCGCCCGCGGGTACGTATACCTGTACCAAGTAATCCCTTCGGGGATTTTCATCTCCAAGCTGAAATTCAAGTCCAAAACATGCCAAATCTCACAAAATACAACAAAATTACTTGAATCAAAGGAATAGCCAAGCAATGGCATAAAAGAACCCTAAACACAAGCTCTAGATATGCATTTTCACAAGACAATGCATAAACACTCACATTTCATAGCAAAATCACATGTAAAATCAAAAAAATCATCACATAGGTAAGCAAAAATAGATTTTGTAGAGCATGGGTTACCTCTTGTAGACAAAATCCTTCTCTTAACATCTCACCAAGCATCTAACAAAGCTCACCTTCCAAACCCACTTCAGGAACACACCAAAAGATCATAAAGATTCTGTCTTCAAGAAAAGACACCTTAGAAAACACTAAAAACACAAGATGTGCATAGATCTTACCCTCCTAGATGCCCAAATGTATGAATGGTAGAATCTTGGAGACAACTCTTGAAGATTTGACAAAGCTTCAACTTGGCTTGGAAGAAAAGCTATCTACCTCTTTAGAGAGAAGGTAGAGCTATAATTTGGAAAGTGTAAGGAGAGAAATGAGGGTCTGTTGGTCCCAAAAGAGGTAAGTTGAAAGTCTCGGGGGGGGGGGGGGGTGGGGGGGGGTGAATAGACTTTCAAACTTTTTCGCACAGCACAACAATTGCTAAGCCAGAGATAAACCAAAACTCTTAACTACATTGTTAGAGTATAGTGCACAGCGGAAATAAATAAACATAAAGTGTGTGTGAGATTGTGTGAGCAGTATATCTCGTGTAGAGCAAATATGTAAAGAGCAGTAAGTAAAGAAAGCAGTAAAGAACACAAGACAATTATAGTGGTTAGAGAGGTGGTGTAATCCTCCTACTCCACTTGCTCTTATCTCCAAGAGATATTCACTATATCTACCACTCCTTGGTTCCAAGATACAATGAATTTCCGTGATCTAGTGCTTTGATCTCAAAGCTCGCACTAATCACGCCCAGTGACACCACACTGCTGCTTCGGGTTCCACGTCGCCGCGCTACTATCCCAGGATTTCACGACTCCGCGTTATTTTCCCCCCGTCTTCCACACTCCGGTAGAAACGTATCCCGTGATCTAGTGCTTTGATCACAAAGCCCGCACTAATCACGCCCAGTGCCCTGCTGCTTCGGATCTCACAGCTCCGTGTGACAATCCAGGATTTCACAGCTCCGTGCTACTTTCCTCCCTTCTCTTGTTTTGCTCCAAAACAAGTGTTGTCTTGCTTCCAACTTCTGAGACTCTGTAGTTGATCTTCAATGATGCGCAGGTCTCTTTGATAAAGATAAACACTCTGGAATGATTTCTCTTGATAACTCTAAGTGTTTTCTCTCTTTGAATATATCAAGTAAAGCACTTGATATTTTTGCTCTGTTTTGCTCTGTTTAAGAACTCTCAGAATATTTTTCTCTTGAAGCTCTCTGAGTTCTTTTTCTTTTCTCATTTCTCACTTGAAGATTTTTGGTATGCTCTGTACCAAATGAGATTTTTTTCTCTATGCTCTTTTCAAGCTTAATTGCTTTATTCGTTCCCCTTGATGAGTTCGAATTTTCTGCTTTCTTGTTCATGAGTTCGTTCAACTGCTCTATTGCTCTTCACGCTATTTTCAAGTCTTCATATCTTCATCATTTTATAGCTGGTAATGAGAATCTATCCGTTGGAAAGAGACGCTCTCATTTTTTAAATCTTGTATCTTTTTGTCAGAGATCTTATCTTATCTTCTGCAAAGATGTCAAAAAGGATAAGCTAGCCGTTTGATGGATATTCATCTCCATGTAAATGAGCTCCCAAACTTCATCTGATATTCCTCTGGTTTAACGTTGAGTGGGAATATCTGGGTCTCTGTTTTGGTGTAGAATGGCTTCTCTGATCAACTCTGAAGTGGTCCTTGTATCTTTGGGATTTAAAAATATTCTTCAATTTAATCCCATACTAGTTAAACTAGTATTTTTCCTTGTGAGAATATTTTCACTGTAAGTTCATCTTCATCTCTTATCAGACTTCAAACTGGTTCTGAACTTCCTCCCAATTTGAATTTCTCCTTTGTAATTGACACCCAATTGCAATTGTTGAGTGTGAATTTGATTCCCATGTGAAACCTGAGAGAAACTGGCTTTCCAATTTCCACTTGTAATTGGCGCCCAAAGCTTAAACTAGCGCCCAACTCCATCAGATTAAATTAATTTGGCTTCTCAAACTTTACCTCTTCCCAATTTTAAATTAATTTGGCTTCTCAAATTTTACATTATAAAATTGTTGATGGTGAGTTTCAAACCTGAGCCATTTCGCATAATATATCAAGCATCATCTACTTCATCCGTACAGCTTATTGATTAAATCTCCAATTATATTTGATGTACACTACACCAAATCAGGCGTTTAGCGGCGGTTTTTATTGCGTTTAGCGGCGGTTCCAAACCGCCACTAGTATGTTTAGCGGCGGTTATTCAACCGCGTCTAAATAGTGTGTCGCGAAGCATTTAGCGGTGATTTTCTACAACCGCGGGAATTCATGGGAAACTTATTTTGCGGCGGTTTTGAATGCATTTAGCGAACCGCCGCTAAAAGTTTCTTAATATTTACTTTAAATATTAGCGGCGGTTTCAAACCGCCGCTAATATTCATTTAATATTTATTTTAACTTTAGTGGCGGTTTTAAAACCGCCGCTAATATTTATTTTAACTTTAGCGGCAGTTTTAAAACCGCCGTTAATATTTATTTGATATTAATTTAAACTTTAGCGGCGGTTTTAAAACCGCCGCTAATATTTATTTTAAATTTTTATTTTATATTGATTTTAAATTTTAGCGACAGTTATTAATAGCGATTTTATAAGTGTCGCTAAAATATATTTTTATTTTCTTTTTGTATTTTCTCATCTAGATTGCTATTAAAATTTGTAATTGCCATTAAATTACTTAACCTCTACTTTCATATGTGCATTGTAAACACAAATAAATACACATTTAATTTAGAAGAAAATCAAATGTAACTTGTATTTTCAAATACTAAAGTTTAACAATATTCAACGAAGTTCACATATTAAAAGAAAAATCAATTCTACATATTAAAAAAATCAATTGAAAATAATGCTTGTCAAATAATATCATTTATAACTAAAAACTATGCGTTATATGAAAAATATAACGCAACATTGCACACAACGTGATGCGCAAATTTCCCGTTTTCTTTAAGATGAAAATTCATTTCCACTCTCCGGTAAAGATTGATGACCACTTTCTTCATCTGATAGACTGATACCTACATTACAAAATGTAGTTTACAATCCATTAATAAAGAAATTAACAAAAGCAAAAGCAATTCATAACAAAAGCAAAAGCAGAGGGACTATTTCTGCCCAATTTCTATCAATTGAGGGGTCATTCTTGTCAATTTTTTAACTCAATGGGGAAAAAAGGAATTGCCATCACAATGATCACATACAAACGTAGCATGTTCCCTTGTTTTACAGCAAGGATCACTTTCTGCTCAGACTCCACGGATTCCTGAATCATATAAAACGATTAATGATTGGTGGAGGCAGAGTGGCAGACATCTTGAGTGTATTAGGAAGTAAGGAAATCAAAGAACATCATGTGCAGCAATGCAAGCTCCTAAGTGGTATTTTCCATGCATAGTATGTTAGATCATGATAATGGACCATGGTGAAAGAATTGCATAGGACTTGCACCTTGAAGTTAAACACCAATGATTAACTAAAAGCCTCATTTCATGCACTACAGATAAAATCCCTAAAGTTCCTACTGAATACCATACAGAGACAAGTTCAGATTCTTTATTGTGCTTTGATAATGAAACTGAACAAGGAACTATAAGAGAAGATAGTAGTGTAATTTGTAAATACTCTTAAAAATCCACTTTCATATTCTCACCCTCATCTCCCCACCCCCAAAACAGATTCTTTTTACTATGCAAGATGGCAGTCATGTTTTGGCATCTGGATGCAATATTATGAGCAAATAAAGCATATAAAATATGGAAATGTGAAGACAAAATTTCAGCATACTCTGATTGTCCATTAACATGATGACTAGAAGATGAATTTTGCTTTCCACTCCCTTGTGAAGATTGTTGATTGCTTCCTTCATCGGGTACCTACATTACAAATAAACCAATTACAGATCTAAGACATACTATCCTAAAGTGTAACCATCTCAATATGCATTAAGAGATCAAAGTATTCAGCAGTTAAAAGTATTTAAAATAATTCCAGAAAGCCAAAAATCAATATTTGAAAAAAAAAGTATGTACTTACTGGTTGAGATGTTTTGTTAAGAAAGGTAGCAAATTCTTCGGGAACTTTGCCAAAAGTTCTTTCCAAAATAGCAACAAGAGCCCCTCCCATGGCCTCTTGCATCTCACTTTGAACTTGCAATTTATCACTTTGAACTTGCAATTGAGCTTTAGTTTCAGCTAACTCTTTCTCCAAAGTGGACACATAGTCTTTCTCATCCATCCTTGAAGTATTGTTAAATACCTTAGATGGGCATGGTCCAAAACCTAACCCACGAACACGTCCGTTGTGCTCTTTTCCAAAGGTTTTGCCAAGAGGGTCATCTCGTGAAATAGATTGTGATTGAGAAGATGAGCCTTTCTCCATTTCATTTCTGATTTTTTCCTGCATTAAACAAATATCAATTTGTTTGAGACTGCTAGAATCTGCAGATTGGGAAGCTGAGATGATGATGATGATTCTGTTGATAGACATTGCAGTTTTGAACAGCTTTGAAGGGGCAGTTTTTGATGTTGTGCCACTAAAGTGAAGCTTATAGAGTGGAGCTTGAGTGGTGCCATGAAGTTGATTCCATCATGGAAAAGGATATTTCATGCTTTTGGCCAAAGTGAATGGGCGTCTGAATGAAGCAGGAGGCTGGTTTGGAAATCTTGGGAGGCATAAGGTTGGTCCACCAAGCTTGGTGGATCAATGGTCTTTGGTAGTTTGAGGCTTAGGATGAAGATTTTGGTGTCCCTGGAGGTGTTGTTTAAATGAAGAAGCTGGTCCAAGCGTAAAATGGTTTAAAAAGACTCCTACGAGTCTTGGATTTTTGTGTAGATGATGTCAATTGGTCTAAGGCCGAATGAGCCTGGGTTTGTGATGGGCCTTGGGCCTGGTCTAAGGCTGCTGAGCCTTTATGGCCTTAAGGATGAGGCTAGATGATAAAGGCCGAATGGCTGTTCTGGGCCATGTGGAGAATAAATTAAAACATACTTACAGTGATAATTCTACATTCTTCATTAACATATGACCCTCTTTTTACTTTGTGAGTATCAATCCATAGTTCTGAGCGGTTAACATTGTGCCCGAGCTCAATTTCCTTGTATGAAAATTAAATTGTTAGTAGTTAAGAAAAAAAAAATAAACATTCAACTTACTTAATTGCAAAATAAAAAATAAAAAAAATGAAATACCATCTCAGCCCTTCTCCTAGCAAAGCTCTTTGATCCACAAGTATGTGCAATTTTTTGTTGTTTTCTACTTTCAGCATTTTTTCTGCACATTTCCTAATAATAGAGTAAAATAGAAATATATTAGGCAAATATGACTAAAATAATAAGCAAACAGATATCAGAAACATTACCATAGATTTGTCTGACAAACGATAGTTGACAAAACTTGACCATTGGTCTCTATGAATTCCAATTGGACATTTACTAATTAGTTCATCCCGATTTAACAAAGGATCAAAGAACTCCATCCACAGCCTAGATTTAAAGTCCTTCCATTTCCTCCCAATATTTTGAAGCGTCCAATGTTTTGCAATCTCATCATTTTGGAAGTGAAATTTTGGCTTCAAATCATGGTAAATGTAATTATTAGCATTACACATTTATTTTTTGAATGTAGCAAATAATTGATTCTATTTTGTTACCTTGATTATTTTGGAAAAGGTATCTTCTTTATATTGCTTTGGCATCAATCTCCAATCAGTAAAATTGATTGGAAATGTGCTACTTTCCTGTGCCAACCCTGCAAGTGTTCCAGTAAATAATCCAGTAGCGTCAGTGGATGGTGTATTAAAGTTGTCAAATGGGACTATGATTTTTTCACCAAATGGGAGTGTCCAAACTTCTTTAACTTTCAACTTTTTCTTCTTCACAAATCCTTCTTCATCTGTCAATAAATGGAACTAAATTAATATATTGATTTATTTAGACTTTTTGTACATGTCAATCAATAAATATAATAATGTAAACTTACTAATCACATCAACTTCCCACGTAGTCCTGGTTCTCTTTTTAGATGAAGATGGCAAATCTTCATCATTTTGGTCTTGTCGTGTCTCATTATCTTGAGCTTGCTCTTGAGGTGTTTCATTATCATGGGTTTGTTCTTCAAGTGGTGCATCATTCAACAATTGCTCGTGTGTTGATGAAGAAGATTGCGGATGAGATATTGGCCGACTCTTATCCATGAACCTTTTGGATCTTGGCATACCTACACATCAAATGAAAAACAAATTTCAGTTTTAAGCATATAGAATGAGTTATGCTTGCCACTATAACCAATTCTAGTTTCTAACATAATTGCATGTGAACTTGATAGTGTTTTATACATACACACTCCTAACGAGAAGTAGCTTTCCAAAGACTAGTGCTTTATGCAAAGACTGTTTATATACTCACTTAAGGCAAAGTATAAGGCAAGTATCATTATCAGGCATTTCTATCATTCTAGTTATACCAGTTATATAACCATGTCTTCAAGTGAAATCAGAGTCAAAGCTAGCAGGATATATCAGTGATAAAAGCAATAAGGGAATTGAAATGGATTGGAGATGTAAGTTCCAACTTTATATCCATTACTATTGTGAAGCTCAGCTCAGATCAGCTGGCTTTTAATTTATTGACTTTAAATGCGTGTAAAAAGCCCCCAAACCCAGTCAATAATTACCCATTTTATGTCTACATATGAAGTGGGAAAAGTAGTCTATTAGCTTTATGCATGAAAGACAATTCTGCTTAATCATTATCATCCAACACAACACTTGCTAGTTTCATTCTACCCTCACACATTTTAATCATGAAAGAATAACATGCATTATTTCCTTTTTCAAATTTATTTTTCCTTTCTTATTTTTCGTCTCACCACATATTACAAACATAATCTAAGCACTTCCTTATGACTTTTAAGATAAAAATACATTTTACATACTCTGACTCGACATCTTTTGTTAAGTTGAAAGAGACCTAACCGTGCCATTTGATTCAACCATGAGTGTAGCTGTTGAACTAAGTAATGTTGCCACCCATGCCTAATAACAAATTAAAGAAATAAAGGGAGAAACCTCACTTAATTAAAGAATGATGTAAAGGACTAGAGAAAGCATTGAGCTCCCTAAAGTGGTGAAAAATAAAAGCTCTTTTCCACCTCCCAAATGTCAAGTTGAGAACTCCCTCACTCATTCCTATTCCCTATTTAATCACTATCTTCAAACAATCAAGTAGTTCTGGACCCCATTTTACACATCCAATTATATATTCAGTGAACAATATTTTGTTTTTAAAGGACAGTGAACAATATGATAACATCTAAAAGGATGGACGAATGGGAATATTATTCGTGTAGGTAAATATTACAACTATGATTTTTATTAATACGTGCCTTCTCGGTTTAATCTAATATAATGTCAAAGTTTCACTCTATGGGTCATGCTTTTCCTAAGTAAGACTTAGACTTTGAGGGTGCAACCCACACCAAGTCTTAATTGGCTGATAGAGAATTAGAGCATCAACCATAGCACTCGGAGGTCCCAACATCATGTACTACTCACCATTAGTAGCAAACACAAATAAGTCAAAACACAATCAAACTTCAGCTCTAAAACAATATGACAAACACCTTGAATGCAATTTCTACAAAAGACTAATCTGTTAACAATCCTAAATTAGCAGAAGAATTCAAGTCCAATAGAGAGAATCAATCAAATTGCAAAAAACATTCAAAAGGAAATGTACAATAATCCTCAAAAGTTAAAAATAATTGATATAAATTCACAACATTTAGAATAATACAAGCAAAATCAAAAACTAAATTCATAAATTCACACACACACTCCTTGAGAACAAAATCAGTGAGAAATTCACAGGAGTCACAAACCTTATAATGGAATAATTCCCTTTTTATGAGGTTAGTGGCGGTGGAGACGGAGATCGTAGGAGACGCCAACCGCTGAACTCAAGGAGGACTGGAGGCTGTAGCGGTAGAGCAGATTAACACGCCAACCGCCGAACGCAGTGCTGCGGTGGAGCCGTACCGCCGTGGAGCACACACTTTAGAGGGGATGGTGGTCCGGTGGAGGTCGGAAGAGACTTCGACAGGTCGGAGCAGACGATTTCAGATTTGATTTTTGTAAAACCCTTCTTCTAAATTTGTGCCGGTTTGGGTAATGGGTAGGGTGATTTTTTGACTTTTGAATGTTGCTGACTCAATATCCTCCGTAATATAATATATATCTATATTAGAAACTACCTTTTTAAAAAATATTTTAGCGGCGGTTATGATGAACCGCCGCAAGTAATTGACGTTAAAAATTAATTATTTAGATTTCTATTTTTGCTAACAGGTTTCTTATATTAAACTAGCGGCGGTTTCTAAACCGCCTCAAAATAGTCATTTAGAGGCGGTTTTGTATAACCGCCGCTAAATATATGTCGCTAAATAATCAGCTTGTTGTAGTGGTACTCCTTTCTTTCCATAGATGCTTGATCTCCAAGTCAATTTCATGCATTCTTCCAATATTAATTTTCTTCACAAAAATTCGTCTGGGATATCTTCTTTGAGTAGTAGCATTGACGTGATTTCATATCATTCATAATCTTCTTCAATTTGTCATTTTCTCCAGACAAATTCTTGATTTTAGGCTTGATATCTTCTTCTTCTATTTTCATGCATCTTCCTCTGTTTTTCTGTTTTCCAATTTAAATAAATTCCTGATCATGGTCTTAGACTCTACTAGACCTGACAAATAAAATTGGGGGATCTACAAATACATATTTGGCATATCAAAACCATTACACTTTATTCCTAACAGGGTCTTATACTAGGTTAGCTTGCATTACTAACACAAGGTGAAATGTCATGAATACCCTTACTAAAAGGAAGAGGTGTATCGGAACAAGGGAACTACTCACAAAGCTTATAGTACAACCTTGACTTTGGGTTGACTAGTCAATTACTAGTCCCCGACTATTGAATTTTCAGGATTTTTAGGAATTAAATTACCATTTGAAATAGGATTAATTACTTAATTAATCCCTTAATTGAATTCAGATTTCGGGGTGTCACATCATCTCCCCGAAGCTTGGGTATGACGAATTAAAACAAATGGTAAAAGGGAATAACAATGTGACAAGAGTGTCAAGAACAATCTCTTTTGGTCAAACCCAAAGGATTCACAAGACATCAACGCAAGGAAGAAAGTATATCAAAACAAGGATTGAAAGAAGTTAACAAACGGATATATTGAGCATAACGAACTCTAGTCCCAACACAAACACCAACTTCTAGCCAGCAACTAAGAACTAGACAACAAACTCAAAACACCAACTACAAAACCAACTATCCAACAAAACAACAAGCAAGAACAGGCATACAAGGCAAGCAACAAACAACTAACAAACGGTAACAACAACTACGGAAAGGCGAACAAGATCACCACCACACCGAGCTAGAACGACTCGCTCTCCGACTCAACGGTGCTCTCCTCGGTCTCTTCGTCGGATCTTCCTCGGCTAGAATTGGCCTCAAGCTTGTCCTCCCTCTGCTTAACTGCGACGAACTACATCTTCAAAAGGCGAAGCAACTAAACCAACTACCCAAACTACAAGCTAACAACCACGGTAAACAAGAGAGGACGACTAAACGCACAACTAAACAAACATCTGCCAAAGAACCTACTAACAAAACAAGCAAGGGACGCCAACGAGGTTCCACAACAAAAACGGTGGGCTTGCGAAACGGATGACAAAGCTTAAGAAATGGGTTGCAAACGAGGTTTTAAGCAACAAAGGTGTTCGCCACTAACCAAAGTTAGAGAAAACAAGGGTTCAGATTAAGGTGATACGATTGATAGGCTTGGACTCAACGAAATTCAACACCAAAACCGTCGGTTAACAAAACGAGAGACAAGACTTAGAGATAGGTTGAGGGTTCACAAAGGTAAGACAAGAAAGAAAGATAAGGTGATAGATAAAAGATTTACCGGAAAGGAAAACTAACTTTCCATAGATGCTTCAAGTCAATTTCATGCATTCTTCCAATATTAATTTTCTTCACGAAAATTCTTCTTGGATATCTTCTTTGAGTAGTAGCATTGACGTGATTTCATATCATTCATCTTCTTCTTCAATTTGTCATTTTCTCCAGACAAATTCTTGATTTTAGGCTTGATATCCTCTTCTTCTATTTTCATGCATCTTCCTCTGTTTTTCTCTTTTCCAATTTAAATAAATTCCTGATCATGGTCTTAGACTCTACTAGACCTAACAAATAAAATTGGGGGATCTACAAATACATATTTGGCATATCAAAACCATTACACTTTATTCCTAACAATTTCCCCCCTTTTGATAATGCCAAAACCTATACTCAGTCATTGGCTTTAAGTTTTTGAAAAGTAATCTTTTTGCTCAATTTTATTTGACAAAGACAAGATGAGTTTAACAATGGTTTTCTAGACACAATCAAAAGAAACTTGTGAATTAAATTTTTAGACAAGCTCCTAAACGCATCTTGAGTTATTTTCATTTTGATCATCATCAATTTTTAATTTTGTCGTGCGTTTGACATATTTCTTGTCTTTTAATTCATGAAAGTATAATTACATTAAAAAAATAAAATTAAAGACTCAAAATAGACCATGGGAAATTATTATTGATATATTTCGAATTTATAGAGAAAAACGCAACAGAGGTTTGAAAATAGAAAATATCAGCTTAAGAGAATTTTCATATTACCTTCTGGGTTTCTTCACACCAGAGTCTTTCTTCAAAATTTCCTTGACATGTTCTCTGAGCTTGAAGAAATCATCTTTGAACTTTGCATTCTGAAATTTCTTTGTAAGCTGTCCGGCCATGTAATGTCCAAAAGCTTCTTTGATATTCTTGCCCGGAAAAACTCCGTTTTCCCACCATAAGACACATTCTTCGAAGCTTCTTTCTTCTCCAAGATTCATGCCCATATTTCCAGTGAAATCTCTTAGTTCATACCACATCTCGGTTCTTTTCCTTTTGCCTTCTTCTTCTTTATTCTTCTCCGAGATCCATTGGGCTTGATCGGCTGCAGGCCATTTCTTGATCATGCTTGGTAGATTTTCCTTGGTCCATATTGTTGTCTGAGTGGCGGTACCTTTTGAGCATTCAAACCAGTCACGCTGTTCACCAACCTTCGATGTACTCGTACCACGACTAGGATTCACGAACTGAGCAAAACCAATCTGAGATGGTCCTTGTGAGGATTGTCCGCGGTTTCGGCCTCTACCTTGAGTAGACATTACTGGCTGTTGTTGGCTTCCAAGAATAAATTTTTGTTGTTGCAAAGCCAAGTGACTGAGAATTTCTTCCCCCCTTTTGGCGTTATCAACCAAAAATGCAAGGGTCTTAAAATCTCGGTCTTGGTTTGCCTTCACAGTTTCAACACTATTGTGCGTTTCAATGGAAACGGTTTGTACGTTGTCCAGCTTGTTTGTTGTAACTGCGAGTTCAACTTCAAGTTTGTTGATTCGGCTTTCTTGGTCTTGAATCGCCTTGACTTGTCGCAAGTGGCATTCGTTGTTAATCTTTTCAGCTGCTTCTCGTTCCTTCTTCATGAGCTGAATCACTTCAAGTAAGCCTTTTGTCTATTCTCCTTTCAAAATTCTTTCTGCTTTGTCAATCTGGGTCTTCAAAATATTTTGATGCTCCATTAATTCCTTCAGATTGACTCGTGTATCCGTGTGTTATTGATCCTTCTTTTGATTTTGTTCAACCAACTTTTCTCCAATTGTTTGACAAACAACATCACTGGATTCGGCTACTTTGGCAAATAAGGATGAAAATATGCCATCTTCTTGATCATTCATCTACACAAAGTTTTGAGGGGATCCGAATGGACTTCTATTCGGAACTGTGAGAACAACTGTATCAATAAGTTGCATCCGTTCTTTTTCAGGTGATTCGGCTTCTTGATTGAGATCACCAACTTGTTCTTCTAAGACTTCTGTTCTCGTGTAATTTTCTGCAAATAATTCTTCTTTTTATAGAACAGGGTCCATGGTAGGCATGGTAGACTGGGTATGGTGTACTGGCAATACACTGGATAAATCCTCTATGATTTGCAGTCTACTCTCAGTAGCAACTTCTACTGGTATATTTCTTCTTCTTTCTTCTGATACTTGTTCTCTTACTTCTTCTCGTACTGACACTTATGCTTCATTGGATCCCACAAATTGTTCATTGCATTCCAGATTCACATTAATTGTTGTGGGGGTCAAATCAGATATCAATAAAGAAGCATCATGGACTTTCACAGGTATGTCCATATGATTTTCAGTGCTCATGATTGGTACATCAATGAGTGATGTCCCTTCAGTTCTTTCATCAAAAATTTCATTATCCGAAAGAGATGTATTGCCTGGATAATGATGTGTGTCATAGACTGACCTTTGCAGAGCTAACTGAAGTGAAATTTCATTCTGTCGTTCTTGTTCGGCTAAACGGTCTTGAGCCGTACTGCCTCCCTTTATTGGTGCTTTTCCTTTTTGTCTGGCTGCCTTCTCGTGTTGCTTCATGTGATAAACTTGATTTAAATCCATGTTGAGTGCATCTAGCATCACGTTCGTTCCGCACCATTCCAAGGAAAAATCTTCACACCGTATCAAATCTGGGGTGATTTTTGACATGAAAGAATGATATCTTTCAAGTTTCCATTCCCTCCAAGTTTACACCATTATCAGTTCTTTCAACAGCTCCGGATCATCTTGAATGAGAGCTGAGTCAAAAATTATAGGTCATGCACTTCCTTCGGCTGCAGATTGACTCGAGAGTCTTCTTTGTAGATCATTCGAAATTTTCACATCAACTCCTGCAACTTCCATTCTTGTAGTATCGTCAACTCCTTCGGCCAACAAGTTTGGTTCGACATATTTGATCGGAACAACTGCCATAGCTGTACTGATGGCTTCTTGATCTCTTCCTGATCGATTGCTT